GCTCAAGCAGGAGCCTGGACCAGAAGATCCCCAGGAGCCCCTTCCAACCTATTGTGTTTTATGATCTTTGATCAAAACAGTGAGGGGTGGAAACTTAGCACATGACTGACGGGATATGTGATTTGTACCTCTACAGTCCTACACCATATTTGGGATAAACTGAAATCTCACCAAGTCAAAGCTGTAACACAGAAAGAGCCTTTAGCAAAATGTACCTGACCAAAACGAAAATCACAAATAAACAGCTATGTAAATGGGAAAATTTATCACATGGTAGTGAGCTAATTTTGTGCCACTGCATCTGACTGCTAAATATGCTTGTAGCATCACCTGCTTTATAACAGCACATACACACTTCCAGACAATAATGAATAAATATGCAAGATTCCTTCCTATTCCTTTTAACTTTTAAAACTGCAAACCTAAATATGTGAATTTCTTCCATAAGCCTTCAGAAAGACAGAACTTTGATGTTTTTAAAAAGGAAATATTATTTACTTTTGCTACAGGCAAGAAATTAAAAGTTTCTTTACTGATTCTGCCAAATGGCTATATCATGGGGTTTTTATTTTCATCAAAACAAGCCATTTTAATTTAAGGTTGTCCCATAACTACACTGTAATTTTGGGGGTCAGATCAACTTGATGAACCTCTCTTATTTCTCTGCCCAAACGACTCCTCCAAATCCAAATGAACCAGAGGGGAAGGAAGTTTTATTCCACACTTGGCAATTACTACAAAGAATATAGGTTGCAGTTTTGCTTTATTTTGTTTGCGTAAGCAGAACAGACAACCCAGTAGTATCCATGTGGTTTTTAAATTAAATAAGCTGAATTCAAACACAGTGGTTAATACACTAAAACCAATGGAGCTTAATTAAGGAACAGCAAAACTTGCAGGTGAAAGAAGAGAAGGGGAAAGAGGAACAAAGTGAGGAAGAAGGTTTTAAAAAGCAAAATAAATATGCAAAAATCTGCACTGATACAATACACAGAACACATGTTTCATATACCAATACACAAGATACTTTAAAAGTGGGAGCCAAGCCCTCCTGTACTAACAGAGAATTTGCGAAGATACAGCTCTTCAGTATTCAGCCTACCAGGACAGTTTCTGGTTTAAACTACACTGAATCCCATGAGCACAGACAAAATCCAGACCATCATCAATCTAGAGACAACAGGCAACACTTGACAGCACAGCATCTCATCAATCTTCATTTGTCCCATCACATCCTGTCATTCTTATGCAAATAGCATATTTGAGGATACATCTTTTCTGCACCCCACAATAAGGAGAAGTGAAGCTGTCAGGAGCACCAGGATGTCATCCTACACCACAGGCCATCACTTCACTCAGCGCCTTGTGTTTTACATCACAGCTAACGTGTCTGACATTCAAATCTGGCTCAGCAGGAGCTAAAACTATCTGACCCCCAGCAACATGCATCTTGCTTCCTGTGCTAAAACTTTCACTAAGGTCCCCAGGTCGGACAGACTCTCTGCTTTCACTGTACTCTTGCTAATGGAGATTGAAACTTCTTCAGAGGAAAAAAGATATCTGCATGGGCAGGTAATGATAGCAATTCACCCTTCTCACCCAAGAAATAAGCCCAGTACTAAAAGGCTGGGAAAACAGATTCCACTGGAAAAGAATAAAAAGACACAGAGACCCTGATGAATTGGTCCAGGTTTTCTTTCATGTAAATTTTTCAGACTACACCTGAAAATTTGTCTACATATATGTCTGAATAGAACATTTAATTTCAAGCTAAGTAAATGATAGCTTTCAAAATACTTTATGCAAGGTTTATGGGGATGAGTGACCTCTCCTGTTAGGCCAACTGATAGATGGGAACATACAGAAAGTTTGGAAACATAAGAAGCTCCATAAAATTACTGCAAAATATTTTAGGTATGAAAAAAATCACTCCTGAGTGGGTAAGTCACCAGAAACAAAAAGCATTTACCAGTTAATCACTTATCAATTCTACTTACAGAATGAAGAATAAAAGGGAAGATTTTACTATTATTACTGACTCAGAGTGTTTTGTTTCTGTATCACTTTCAAAGAATGTTCAGAACATCTTGTTCTCAAATATTTCCCTTCTAAGAGGAATCACTTTCTGTACCATACATGGCTGAAAACCGTACATGCTGGTTTTGTTTTCTTATGAAGAACAGAAACCATCCTCAAGTATTTCCAGCATCACATGAATGAGATGCAAAATAGCTAAGTGCTACAAACGTGGGACACAACCTTGTACTGAAATATTATTCCAACACTATGATGATATCTTAGAGAAATTACCTTATTATTAGACATTCATAGCAAGTCAAAACACGTTTACTGTTAAACACAACTTTTTATAAAGTCTGACTCAAAAGCTATTCACTACCCAAAACAACATACTGTAGTGTTTACAGAGATGGTGAAGTCTGCACTAGGCTCAGGGGAATACCCTTACATTTGATATTCCCAAATACTGCTTTCAAATTACAAAAGAATAATCATCACATATCTGTCAGTTAAGAAGCAGTCACATAAATGAAGATCCTGAATGGATTATTACCAAATTTGTAAGTGTATATTGTAAAACCTACAAAGCATGCATTCCTCAAACATTTATTGGTTTCAAACGTGAAAAGGTAGTTGCAAGAAGTACACCAGACATCTTCCCAGTCCTTGGAAGGAAAGAACACAGACTGCCTTGAGCCTATATACCATATGTAAAGTTAATGCATTAAAATTACTGTAGAGTCATCACACACCTACGAAAACAGGACACGCACTTATTGTAATATATGGGTGAAATATATAAAATATCAAATTGATATTACCTTTTCAAAGGGATCACTGATCACAAAGTAAACTAAAAGCCCATACTGAAAGATTTCCCATGAAGTGAAATTCACAGCACAAATTTTCCGGTGCCAGGCTTCTTTGTTCCAGGATTAAAAAATAAAATAAAATGTGCAACTCATGCACTGCAAATATTACACAGACCCAGGACATGGTGGTGGGCTGGTATAGCCTATCTGGCCTGGATGAAGCATGACGCAAGCAATACCAACTCATGTGACTCTCCAGTCCTTTAAATCCCAGTTTAAAACTCCCCTTCCTCCAGACCTGTGGAATTTTGTTCTGCTACTCTGTAAACAAATGCTTTCTACAAAGCTACCATAAGTTATTATACCTTGGTAAAAATAGTTCTAAATAAAAATCTAAAATATCCATTCATGGTTTATTGCTAATAAAATTCCTATAATCACACAGCTTGCTGCTATGGGTGGCACTGTCTCAGGCAGCTCCTACTTCTTTACATTTAGAGTCAAGACTACCGACTTTATTAGGGAAAAGAACACATAAGATATGTTGCCACCTAAACACAATTGTGCTGTTAGCTCTTTAAAGTTTACCACCCCACAAAATTCAGATGCACAAAAAATGCCAAATTTTTACCCACCATATTAAAATGAAAACTTTCAGCACCGGACTAAGTGGTCTGGATTTGCACCAGTAATGTAGGTACAGCTGGCATATATCAAGAACCTAGGTATCAAGGTGTGGTACCCTTAACACATGGTAGTACTGCCCCAACATTGCCAATATTTCAAATATATACTGTCTCAATATACCAATATTTCAAATGAAAGCTAAAATATAAAAAAATAGCATTCCCTGTAGGCCCAAGAGAAATCCAGCAACAGGGAGAATGACAGCGAGCTGAATTCCCAGGTGGTGACACAGATAACACAGTATAATGCTGAACTTGGAAATTTCCCTTCTGTTCAACAAACAGAATTTTTTCAAATTCAGCTCGGTCCAAACCCAAAGAATAGGAACCAAAGAAAAATTTAATCTGCTTGACAAAAGTGGAATTTTGAAAATTTCATTTTTGCACAAGCATATTTTTCACGGACTATTTTTCATATTTTTATTATCTTTTACTGAAAACTTTCTGATAACTCTACTTTGCCTTGGCAGGCACACTTTGTCAGGACCCCATCAGCTGTATGTCTTCCTCTGGTTCAACAGGGAAAAGGCTGTGTTCTGATCAGAAAAAGCAATTTTTTTCTTTTCCCCAAGATTTCACTGTATATGAACCTTACTTTAAAATGTGTGCTTCATACATGTTTTATGCCCAAATGCCCCAATACAAACAGAAAATCTATTCCAGACACATCTTAAAATGGGAGAATCTGTTAACATTAAAAAGATTTAAGAAACCTATAAGAAATCCTAGAAAAGTTCAGGAAAAATCAATTGCATTAACCTGTCATCAAATTCATTAATGTTGTGAAGGTGAAGAGATGTGGAATAAAGAAACACACTAACACTACAAAATGTATCACAAAGGGAATCACTTCAGACTGGTCTATCTACTGCACTTAGCTGCGAGAAGCCACAGCAGTGGGAGACAGTTTTAAAGTGGATTTTGTAGAGGGCTGCTGGGTTGGTTTTGGTTTTGTGGGTTTTCCACAGTAAGCATTACAACCCTCACATTTTTATTAACTTGAAATGTTCTTGTCACTCCAGAAGAGATGTTGCAGGACCTAAAGAGAATTTGCACTGTTTACATTTGGAAACCATATTGCTAGCAGCAGGCTAATGGCACTATTGAGATAGTTAATCTTTCAAAAGGAAGTAACTAATGAAACCAACAAACTCATGCATAAATAAACACAACAGAAGCAAAAACTACAGAAGCAGTTTGACAGAAATGTTGTTGCACAAGTTCAACGAGCTTGATTTAAGGAAAATTTCTTCTAGGAAAAAGATACTTAAGGCTATCACAAAACATTTTCTGTTAAATATTCTGCAGAGAGGAAAAAAAAGTGAGGGACAATCTTTGCTTTTGCCGTTTCTTCATTTGAAAACTTCTACTTTTAATCATTAAATTGACTAGACAACAGTTTGGAGAGAAACAGAGGAAGGAATTACAGCAAAATCTGGTCTTCTCCAGGGAACAGGATATACGACAGTGTGTCTATTCGTACCTTGTCTATCATGTCCGGTCTGTTTGTAGCTGCCAAAATTGTCACATCCTTCAGCTGTTCTATCCCATCCATTTCCGTTAGCAACTGAGCCAAGACACGATCTGCTACATTTCCAGCACCTGAAGAGCTGATTTAGAAAAAAAAAAAAAAAAAAAAGTCCCAGCATTAGCTTTCCCTTCCTAGAAAACTGGAGAAAGGAAAGAACGTCCTGTTCTTTTCGATTTACAGGGATCCATCTCTTTATCTGCATTCCTTCTGGTTCTTATTTTCACCTTCACTCCCTGAAACTTTATCAGCCATGTGAAGTGAGTAAAAGCAAACTGCAGAATTAGTCCTTTAAAGGACTGCTGAATACTGCTTTGGTATTCAGCAAAGCAACTGAGGTTTTCTTACTTCCAACCCTGCTATGTAGGTTATAAAGTGTTTAAGACAATGTGGATGTCTGGAATATTTCTAAAATAACTGGATTTCCTTCTTAGTCAGACAAACTTTTATTTTAGCACTATCCAAAGGAGTGCTTACATAACTACCTAATTTTTGTACTGCATAGGGTTATGTATTTTGCAGAGTTGCTCTACATTTTATGTTCTCCACATCAAATGAGAATAATACAAGTGCCTTCTAATAGCATTGTCAGTCCTTTAACTCAGCTGATTCTACAGATACCAGGAAAACAAAAGAAAAAAAAATCAAGACTGAGAAACAGAAAATTCCAGTTTTGAAATCACCAAGATGTGAAAACCCTGAACAGACGAAGCATAACTATTCTGGTGTTTTGGTTTCTTGTTGTTTGGGTTTTTTTAATTTGGAATCAACTCTGATAACCTTAAAGTTTATGGAAGATTCACTCAAATTGCTTAACTATATGTAACAAAAAGCATTCCAGAAATAAACTCTTATTGTTTCCATTAAAGCTTCCAATATTTTAAAAAGAATAAGCAAAGGATGTACCACCTTGTTCCCAGACAATTCTTTAATGCATATAAGTATGTGCACACATACACGTATGTGTGTGTCTGCACATATTCACACATAAAACAAAGAACACAGAAAAGGAAGACATTGCATAAATCAAACCAAGAGAACAAGCACTTGTGATAAATAATACATCTCATGAGCGTTGTGTTCTTTATAACATTGTTCTAATTCTTCATAAAGAGATTTTATTTCTGAAATGTTATTAAAAAAACAGGTCATCACCCACCATATCGTTTTTTGTTTTTGAAAGGACACTAGACCTAGCAGATACTAGGACCACACACAGATAACTGTATACACTCATATGTTGGCAGATGCACTACACAAATGATATATGTGTTTCTTGCAGTACCCAGCAACCTAAACACTGGTTTGCATGAAGGAATATTAGATTATAAAGATAAGCCCTGCAATTATTTCTAGCAGATAGAGAATACTCATAGATAGTTGCATTGTTATTACACACATATATTGCTGCAGCACTGGCATCCACCACCAGCATGCCTGAAACCAAAGCGCTTCGTAAATGTCTCAGAGCCAAAGCAATAGTAACGACTCTGTCGTTCCTCTACAGATGTCCTCCAAAGGAATTCTCTTGTTCTCCTATTCAACACCTGGTTCTATAATTTTCCAGTGCAAAACAGTTAACTTACAGACCTAGTCTGGAAAGTATCTTTGAAATGTCAGCTAACAGAATATTTAGGTTGCTAAGGTATATTAGAGAAGGGACTTGGGTTAGCTAATTGTCGGCTTTTTTGGTTTGCTGCGGCCATGTCAGAAATTCCCAGGTGATATTACAATATTTCTAACATACCCATTGGTCACGGTCCTATTGACTTATAGAGGGTTGAAAACGATAAAACACTTCAGGTGTTAGACATGGATAGTAAATGCTTTTTTGAAGGACACAGCTTAAAGGAAATTAAAATCAACTTTGTAACTTAAGCTTGTCTCAGTAGGGAGTCAGGCCTCCCATTTTGCTTAAATTTCACGTTTACTCAACTTTATACCCAGCAGACTGCACACAAGAAAAAGCTAAGCAAAGTCAAAAATGAGATGACCTGAAACTGACACTAGAGGACTTCAGGGGAAAAGGAAAAAATATTTGGTTTTAAAGAGAGGTGGCTAGAACAGATATTACATCTCATCTTTCCCCCATATAAACATTTCTCTTGGAAGCTTCACACTGAAAAAAAAGGTAAAATTAATGTATATTGTAAAGAAAATCCACACTGTTATAGGGCAATGTACATTGCAAAGACTTCCATGCAATTATGAAGCAAATAATTAGAAAACTGCAGTTAAGCAAACACTGATGGCATCATACAGCTCAAACAATGAAGGGAAATACCAGGGCATTGTTTGGGTATTTATTATTAACTGCTAAAAGTGGAGGGAAAAAGGTCTAAAACCAGCCATGCAAAAATACCAATAACACAAACAGTACCAAATGAAGAGGTGTCTGGGACCTATGACACCAGGAATTTCCAATTTCACCACTTTTATTTACATTGTTCACTAAGCTGCCATACAATGCACCATTTTTAGAACAGAGTCTACAGCAAATTAGCTTTTGGCTGAATAGGATACCCTATAAAAGTCACAGTCAGGCACAGGTTTACAGTGAGATCCCTACGGCAGCTGCTCGGAGCTGCACCATGCACTCCGAGACCTCTAGTGCTGCCTAAGCTGTTAATCTGAAGGATGACACGCAAGTATGCATTTTTCCATTTCCCCATGTTTTCCCAGCAAGGATTTTAAATTAACACAGGCAACATTCATTAAAGCTGCCCAGACTTTTGACACAAACGGCAGCCAGAGAAACAAATTATGATTAACCCTCCAGTCCCACGGAGGCCCTGCCAAAAACAACTTCCAGCTAAGGGGCCATGTTTTCCCCACCACCACCACCACCTGACCTCCACACATTGATGTCATCATCACAACTGCATGGAAATAGTCCTCAAAAGGCACGTCCTGGTACACTCTAATTTCCTGTCAACACACCACCTGCAAATCCAGGCAGTCAGAATTAAGCCTCTCACATAATCCACACAGGGTGACATGTGCACAGGTGCACATATGCAAAAGTTGTGCCCTTAACCAGAAATATCTTGAACTTCAAAATAAAAAATGTGTGAGCAAAAAGGAATCTGGCTGCTCCGTAAAGGCATGAGAATTTCAAGTCATCTCTTATGCTGCCCTCATGAAATACATCTGTCTGTAGGCTATGTGTTAATCTTTTCGCCAACCCTCGATGAAGGAGTTTTAAAGGCAAAAAAAGTCTTTGCTTACTAGTTTATTACATCACTTAGAGCCAGATATCCTCCTGTATGTGATATTTCAGCTAATCCTGCAAGTGTCCCACCAGTCTCAGACCAAGCACATATGCGCTCCTGCTCGGGCACTTCACTTGACCATCAGAGAAGCTTCCTGGATGGCAAAAGCCTCTTGGGTAAGACTATCCATGGATTAAAACAACCATTGAAGGCAAATATGAAAAGCAAAACCTGTTCTTGGTACTTTATTTTAGCTAAAGGTACTTTCAAAACACATTTTGACAGAATAAAACACTTTTACAGTGTACCAAAGCCTCACAATCTGAATTAACTCTGGCCTTGTCTGATGAAACTGACTGATCATGAGCCCCAGCTCCAAATTCAATATAGCAGGTGAGAGCACTCCACAGAACACTTTCTTACCTCCTCTGGCCTTATCCAAAGACTGTTCTAACCAGCTGGATTCAGATCTCAGTGGGCACTGACATTTCCCCTTAGACACCTTAAGCCACTCTCATACATCTTCCTGGGCACATAAAAAGTAACCGCAGCCTGATTCTATCACTGCATCATGGAATATATACAGTTCCCTAGCTTATATAGCTCTTCAAGCCAAGGAGATTTTGTTTCTGGACATAACCAGATGTATGAAATCACTTGATTTAAATCTGTTACACTTCATGCTACAGGCTTATTTGTTTGTTTGTTTGACAGCAACTGACTTCTTTCATGCACTTTTAATTGCTTACGTTCTTTTTCTATCTCCCTTATATAAAAGATTTTTTTAACACTTGAAACCTAAACACAGAAAACAGTCTGAAAATGTATTCATTATGGTTTCACCTCATGGTGAAATTTGGTAAGCATCACCACTGCGAGCTAAAGCAAATGTACACTTGCATCATCTGACAACCTAGAACACTTACAAAGCCAATGGAATTAATGTTTTTTCACAACGCTAGATGTCATTTTCATTGAAAAATGTATTTCAGTTTCAATCACCATTTAAATCCTGTTAAGGAGAACCACTGACTCTCCATCCCACTACTCAGACAGGCACTGAGGCCTGTCTGAGCACCTTAGCTTCAGAATCAGGACCTTAATTTAGTTATGTTGCTAAACTGTAAATGTGGAAATTCAAGAAACAGTCACACAATAACATTTTCAGCACTCTAAAATTCACAGCAACTGTGAAGCTACAAAACCAGAAGAAAGTTGGGGAGGGCCCCTCTCCTGAAAAGCCCCATTTCTGCACAGATGTCCCTACCTCAGGCAGATCCCTGAGGTCAAAGAGGCAGACCTCAGGAGAAATATCCTGGATAAATTACTGCAGAGGGATTAATTGCCACACAGCTGAAATCTGTAACACAGGTTTTGTGAGAAGGGAGTACAGGCCAGCTTCTTTTCCAAAATGTCCTATCAGGCAAGATTTACATACAGATGAAAGCTGTTTGTTTGGGTTTTTTTTTCCTCACGACAACAGAATCACAATCATAATCAAAATTTCAGGGTTTTAAAAACACTTGTGGATGTGCTATCATCTCAAATCCTTATCTCACTGGAATCGCTGGAAAGAATTTCATATCAAAGCAAATATAAAACTCATTGACATGACAAAATGGTTGGATAAAAAAATTATTTTACGTTGAAATAGAACTTTCTGGCAGAACTCTCCACTTCCCCACAAACTATGGAGGTAAAAGGTTCCTGAAATACCCAAGCCCCCTGCCAGCACGCTTCCATGTGAGAGTCACCTTGCTCGCAGAGCCTGAAGGATTTTTATTAAGTCTGACATTTTTGTCAGGGCTCTGCAGGGGTAACCTGTCAGCAAGGAGCAACCACCAAGTCTGTCTTGTCAGTCCAACTGCTG